GAACACAATGAATGCGATGACGGCAGCCGAGAAATTACATATACGGTACTATCTTATTGGTGTTTTGACTAGGTGACTTGCTAATAATTAAAATCAATTATAAAATAGAAAACTTACCAATTTGTGTGTTACTGTATTAATCCATCATGAAAGAAGTTATAGTGTTCCAAATGTTACATTTGTCCACTGAGTTGTAACACATTTATACACGTAGATGATAGCCTAGACGATTTTAAACTTCCCGGTTATTATTTTTAGAGACACCTATCTAACTAGATAGTATTTGCTGGATCTATGAGCAATATCCTTAATGTGGAAAAACCATTTTCTAATAATAATTATTTTGTGAAGGCACCAATGTTGCCAAAACAGACAAAAACATAAACCATGATCAAATTACAAAAGAGTATTCAGCGTTGCCGATAGGACAATGGAACTCCTAAGCTGACGTCAATTACAATTGATAACTAATATTATCTTGAGATGCAGACATAGTTCTTTGGAAAGAACTCCAAAAGTATGGTAAGATGGAGGCATACTTTGAGATTTATAGGGTTCGAAATGCTTCAAAAATGTTAAATCCAAAAGTCGGAGCTAGAACTTTGGGTTATAAAAAGTTATTTACTTTCATCAGATCTTCAGGTTTGAGCAAGATTGGGATTACTGTTTGCTTTTCGGTAGGTGTGGATAAACGCATCCACCTGTACACGGGATCACACGTACACAGCGACATTTTGAACACAATGAATGCGAACAGTCTCAAAAGTATGCGACCAAAGGCAAAAGATTTGAATCCTTAGCCGTGTGCATATTATACTATAACGATATTGGCTCCAAACTCAGGATCACTTGTATTTGTGTACATATTTAAGGGCCCAGAACCTTCCCAGATGTAATTTAAAAACATGCAGTTTTCAATTATATTACCCATAAAGTTGTGACCAGGCCACTTGATCTTTCCGAGCCTCTTTATTAGGTCCTTTAATATGCCGAGGCACCTTTATAGTTCTGGTAATATCTATCAGACTTCGCAAGAATGCTCTTACTGGTATGATATAATTGTATGTCAAGTTTAATAGCCCTATCTATGACTACAGGTCTTTAACATACATATATTGTTTGCCAGATTTTCCCATCTTGTCCTGAGGTAGGGTTGAATGTCACGAAAAGTTATGACAGGAGCAGGTTCCGTAGTTTACTAATGTTTAAAACCGACCTCTCTGTGATCATTCATTGTGTGTTATATAGAGGAGTGGTATGTAGTCACAACAACAACTTTTCCAGTAAGTGTGTGTTACAAAAAGGAGTTGTCAAATATGTAGACACAGGAATTGACCTCCAACATGTTCTCATACACATAATGTAATGTTGTACTGATGTTTTCAAATTAGCTGATACAGATACCCGAATGAGAAATTTTATCGTACAAGTACAACCCTTCAACTTTAATCCGAGGTCATTCTTGCTGATCAGTTTGATAAATAGGAATACATTTTGCGACTGACAGTCAGATTTTGCCATTTGATGTTCAAATATGGTCGATGGCTTCATGTATAGTTTAATATTTAATAGAACACGACTCAAGGGTTATCTCATTGTTGAAATCTAACCCTTCGCATGGTAGCTTAAACAGATAATGGATCAGTTGAAATACATCAGGTGCCTTTGTAGGTACTTATCCTAGATGATGAAAACGTATATAGGAAAAAGCTTTGTTCAAATGGTCCTTCAACTCGACCTGCCCTTTCTTCTTTATAAATCTGTTTTTAATAATATGAGTTATTTTGAAGTGATAATAAGCGTACCCAAAATATTCAATTTCAATATCAACAAATGTTATTGACAATATAAGCAATAGTCAATAGGATCAGACACCAGGCATAGCATATCTAAGTCCTCTCCTTAAGGTGACAATAGGTGGTAAGAAACACAGACATATATTTATACATTGATATGATGATTGGGAAAAGGGGAAGTAACTCCTTTTTATCAGTGTCAAATAACAAATAACTTCTGGCAAGACATACGTAGATGGATATACTTAAAAACTGACCAAACATTCGAAATAAAGGAAGATATTATACTTTTTGGCAAAACTTCTGAATTCCAAATATCCAATCCAACTAATATCATCATGATTCATGCAAAATTCTTCATCTAATTTAGCTCCAGAAAGAAAAGAAACCCTAGTATGACTGATTTTTTTATTTTTTTTAATGTACATGAGATTGACAAGGTAATAGCCCAAGGGAGGGGGAAAATTGAGACCTTTAAAAAAACATGGGAATCATGGTCGAATATGTTGATACCCTAAAGCTAAAAATGCTACAAGCCTATAATATCTTATTTTAAATCCTCTATGGGTAAAGAAATTAATAAACCTAGCTGGCACCCGAGAATACTCGAGAACTATATATAATATATATAACAACAATTAAGTATATATTTACATATAGTATTGAATATTCTAAATTATATATGTATATATATAGGTATATGATATTCTATATGCAAAATGCTGTGAGATGAAACTGATGATTGACATATAATCTTATAAAATTAAAAAGAAATCACATGAAATATATAACTATGTGTATGCATGTTTATGTTTTTTGGTTTGTTTGTGTATGTTTATGCATGTATGTATGTACGGATGGATATACTTGCACATTCTTAGGCATGGATTGGATATATGTGTATATGTGTGCATATCTGTGTGCATGCATGCGTGTATGCATGCATAGGTGTATATATGTTTGAGCATGCATATATGTATGTATGCTTTCTCGATTTACACATGTATATCTGTTCTGATGACCCCCTTGTAATAATGCTGTGTAGTAATGAAACATTTTAGAGATAAAAAGTGAAACATACTGAATCTTAAATCCATGTGATCCATATTATATATGATTAAGTTTGATAACATTCTGACAACAACTTATCATAAAATTGAGCAGATCTTTCCTATGACAATTTATCGGGATACGTATCGCAATATATTCATTCTGTATTTTGATATATATCGTGATACACTCTTGGCGTATTGTGACACCCCTAGTGTGTGTGTGTGTGTACATATGTATGTTTGCTATGTATACCATATGATTCCAACTTGTAAAGCAGTCCATTGTGCCAAACTCTATCAAATGCCTTGCTTATGTCACAGAATATAATTATGATTTATTTGACCTAGGCAATTAACAATGGTATGGTAAATAGACAATAATTAATTTACAGTTGAATCTTCATACTGGTGTTTTATAATGATTTTTTACTAAAACATGAAGTAACAGAGATAGGTCTGTAATGAGACACCTCATTAACTAATCCTTTACCTTTATAAAAAGCGTTAGTATTAGCCATCTTCCAGCTGAGGGGAATAATACCAGTTTCAAGTGTTTTGTTGAAAGAGTTAGAGGAAAGAGGATAGATGGATGTAATTGTTTGATTATTCTGGGAATCATATAATCTGGTCCAGCAGGTGTATTAGCATTCAAAAGAAATATCTAATTTTTAACATCCTGTTGGGTTATAACAATATCATTTATGGAATAAGGAAAATCGTTAGTAGTTTCAAGTATAGGTTCAGTATTTTCAGAAGTGGTAGATATTGATACAAAGTATTTATTTAAGCATTCAGCTTTGTCAAATGGATGTTGAATAAATGAATTATTGTGTGTTAGTGGGGGAATAGAAGTAGAATTGTTATTTATAATAAGGACATTTCGTGTAATTTTCCACCACTTGTTAGGGGGAATAGTTTTGTCGGTTCCTGCTTTTTGTAAATTTTCAACATACCTTTTCTTGGCATCACGTATTTTACTAATGGTTTCATTTCTTTTGTTTCTATAATTTTCGCACTGAAAAGCCGAAATAATAGATTTTGCTTTCCTATGAGCACTATTTCTTTGTCGTATATGTAGTCTAATATCATTTCTCATCCATTTTTTATCGTTTGGTCTAATTGTTACATACTTAATGGGTATAGATTCATTAATTAAGTTATTTATAGTATCACATTAAATATTGCTAAATTCATTTGTATCATGTATATTAATGAGGTTTTCCCAATCTTTTTCTATTATACATCTATTCATCTTATCATAATCTGCATCTTGATAAATAAGAATTTTCTTTCGATAGGTTTGTTTTTTAAAAACTGCATAGGAAATATTGAATTGTATCTGAGAATGGTCAGTACATATAGGAGGAAACACAGATGCATTTTTAATTAGATTTATGTGGTTGAAAAAGACAATATCAATTGAAGTTGATGAAGTTGGAGTGATACGGGTGGGGTCTGTGATAAAACTAGAAAGATTAAATTTTGTCATTAGTGATTTAACATGTTGATATTAATATCACCAGTAATCACTATATATCTAAGTTAGTGTTTACAGCTTTTTCAATGACTGGATCTAAAATTTCCCAATATCTAACTGGTGATTCTGGTCTATATAGACAAGCCAGAAGAAACTTGTGCGACTCAATGTGAATTTCCACCCATATCATTTCAACTTCATCATGTTCAAGATAATGTCGTCCTTTGGTGAAAATGTGATTTTTGTGATAGATTAAAACCCCACCACCAGGACAAGTTTTTCTATCCAGCCTATAAAGATTTCAGAGTAACATGGAATTATTAGTTCAGTATTAGGTATTTCAGGGGTGAGGTGTGTTTCGGTTAGGCAGATAATATCACTTTCATTTTATTCGGTTTCAACAATATCAGTCTTGTTTCTTAAGGATCTTATATTGAGATGAGAAATTACTAGGTTACGCAGAGGACATGAGTTTAACTCAATATCATTACAGCTCATAAATAAAATACTAGTCACATAGAGAAAGAAAAGTAAGTTTTTCAGATTGTGTGTATACAGGGAAAATTTATAAACGACGTGTACATAATAGTACACGGTTGATTTAGTCATACACCCCCTAGTGTTCCTACATGTCCCATCACGTGATACACCTAATACTGTTTTAACCATAGTCATATATCGTTATAAAATATACTGGGACGTGAACGTGAATGGGACACATGATATTGCGAGTACATACATATAATAATTTGGAGGCTTGGCAAGCATAGCTGTACAATAACAGCACTAGAAAAGACATTCGATTCGTAAACAAAGCAAAAGATACAATGACATAATTACGTACAGACGACCCAGCTATTCAACATGGATACCATATGGACCACGATGTCGTACACGTATACACGGTACGTGCGAAAGTTATCTTAGAAGGAAATGTATACTTGGGTTTTGCCTACGTCACTTCCGGTTACCTCGGCTTGACACTGGACGTCAACAAGCGTTACCTTATAACAAAGCCGATAGGTGAGGTGTGACTCATACGTAATCCGATTGTAAACAATGGTTAAATCCTGTTGTGCCTGGGGTTGTACAAACAGACAACAGACAGGTTCAGGATTAGGTTTCTATAGAATACCTACTGATTTACAGACGAGAGCGATGGATACAGGCAATTCGCCGCGAGGGTTGGACTCCATCTCTACCTGATCGTCTTTGCGGGGACCATTTTATTACAGGTAAACAAACGTAATCAATTGTATGACATAAATATCATCGTATTTTTTTGTTTCTACATGGTTCCAAACGTGAACAAAGTGCGATTACAATATTACATGGTTAATAAATAGAATCGTTGACCTAAATATGCAGGACAGTTGCTACCTGGATTTTTACTAATTAGCGAAACAAAATGGCTACCGCTCGGTGTCAGATGTACATTTTAAATGTTGCACGACTCTAATCTCAGGTAAATAAAGCCCAGGTACATTCCCATCATGCACCAGTTTACTATCGGTGTCATAACAATGGGCACTGGCCATGGGATACCTAGTACATGTAGTATGCAATGTTCAGTATTTTCTACTTTATCTAAATTATTTCAATCTACTCAAGCACTGTGTCATTTTTAATTATATTTTATTTTAAGTGTACTTAATTAACTGATAATTTTATTATATGATTATTGTATTTGCCATTCAACTGCATACACTAACTAATATATTACATTATTACAATTAAGAGTTCCAGATATTAAATTAAAAACACGAAAGTAAAAGTGAAAGTATATTTTTTAAGTATGAAGATACTAATTTAACTTGGAGAAAAATTATCTTATTGTTTTGCACAGAGACTATATATTACATGTATGTCTCTGTCTTGCATTATCAGAATAAAGATAACTACCTTTTTATGATTTATAATTTTATATAATCTAATAAATGCATTTTAATGTTTTAGGAAAGGCAAATGCTGTGGACAAGGACCATCCTGACTTTGTTCCTACAATATTAAAGTTCAACGAGTGAAAAGGCTCTTCAACGTTTCGAAAGATCAACAAGCGTTAGGAAAAGACGTGAATCTTTTGTAACCTCTGTGGATCATAACAAAGTTTCAGAGTCTGTTGATAGTGGTGATTGTGGTGACGACGATGACGACGACGACGACGAAAACAACAAAGGGACACAGACAGATGGAGAGAAGGATTTACTTCAACACAATACACAGCTCATGGATGAGGTCACCAGCCTACGTGAGGAGAGATATAGCCTCCGAGAGGAAAACCGAAATCTTCGATTTGGTGCACAGAAACTTGAGACTGATGACAGAAAAACAGGCCTGCAGTCATATGCATTGTTTGAGTGTTTGTTTTGGTATGTGTCTGCGAAGATGGAAACAGGACCTGTGGAAACAAAACTTCAATTGAAGGATGAAATGTTGCTTGTGCTGATGAAATTGAGACTGAAATTGTGTTTTGAGGATCTAGCAGACAGGTTTAACATCGCCAAAGGAACAGCAAGCAAGATCCTTCACAAGTGGCTTCCGATTCTCTACAGTAGACTGCAACTGCTCAGCAGGTGGCCGGACAGGGAACAACACTGAGAACATTAACATCCACCTTCCAGAAACACTTCAGAAAAGTCAGGTGTGTTATTGATTGTAGCGAGATTTTGATAGAACGACCTACTTCTTTCAAGGCCAGATCACAGACCTATTCAAACTACAAGAAGCCAACACCGTCAAGATTCTGATCGGAGTGATACCAAATGGCGTGATATCATTTATTTCGACATGCTACGGGGGAAAGATATAAGACAAGAAATAACAAAACGTTCTGGGTTTTATGACAAGTTAGAGTATGGAGACATTGTGCTGGCAGACCGGGGATTTCTGATAGGAGATGAACTGGCACTTCGAGGATGTGAGCTGATGATTCCATCGTTCACACGCGGGAGAAAAACAGCTTACGCAGAAGGATGTGGAAATGTCGCGAAGACTTTTAAGGGTCCGAATCCACATCGAAAGAGTGATTGGCACCTGAAGAACAAATACACGATTCTCCAAGGAATTCTCCCAATTTGCTTGATAAAACGTGATGTGGACACAGAGTATGCAACTGCGGACAAAATTGTGACCATTTGTGTAGCACTAACCAACTTGAGTGCGCCAGTGGTTTAATTTAGATATGGACATTAATCTGATAAAAAATGATGGACTGAGTCTGAATGACTTGAACTGAAATAAATAAAAAAATAAGTGACTCCTTTTAATTGCATATATTTATATATATGTACAGATGTACATTTTAATATCAAAACAGACAACAAAGGCATTATAAGCTAATAAAGCAACTATACAACAAGAACAGTTAATTGGAATCCACTATCATTTGATCCTAATTATCAATCTTTTTCTTGTCTTTCTTTAAAACCTTGTTGCATCAAGTTTTATATATAGTTGCAAAGACACGTAACGTGGAAATAAGATTTTATAAAAGCTGTAATATGCTCAAATTAATTAGCTAACGTGTCACTGTCCACCACAATAAGGCTTGAAACAACAAGATTAATAGAAAACTTTTTAATAAAAGGAATGAGTTCAACATAAAAAACTGGAAAAGCCAAATTGAATTATTTAAATATATTTTAATAAATTATGTTAACTTTATTCACAAAGATCTATCTATCATATTGCACACTAAAGCTTACACATCACACGTCAACAACAATTACATACATACCAACTTGCATACAATTTTTTTTTTTTTATATATTTAAGTATACATAAACTCGTTATACTGCCATCATAAGTTCAGCAACATTTTGGCATTATAAAGGGGTTTGGCAATATATCAAGGGAAACATATAAAGGAATTGAGAAAAACAAGAAAAGGGGACCTTGAAATTTGTTGACAGTAATTAAGGGAGGTGGCAAATTAAATGTTACGAGGGGCATTATAACGAGGTATGTTTCACTGTATAATACTAGTACATCACTACATAAAGCAATATCCACATACCAACAGTGACTCGCGATCAGGAATAATATAACACAACATCACAATATAATGTTTTTGGAAAACAATTCTTCATGAATTAATAATAAACCCATCCATATCTATTGCAGTTTAATAGAAATGTCAACAAATGGTCAATAAGCCCACCCCGTACTTGGCACGTCAATTTTCCCCAGAAAACGTTGCAAGTGCTCAAATGAAAATGTTTACATGTAGGCCCGGTGAACGTAGCCTCACACTGTCTACTTTCTAAACTGAGCACAATGCCACTGTACTCTAGGTTAACGTTTGAATCCCACACATTTAAAATGGAACCACTCTAGTATACAATTGTCTCCATCGCAAGCCACCATGCGTTCAGACCTGTCATCTGGATACTTGCACAAACAATATAGTCGGTTAAGGTCCTTCGGCTGCAACACTGCTGTAGGTGCTTTCTTTCGACGGACAACAATCTTCTTTCCTGCGGTTGTGGAAAAAAAGCATTATTTGATTGATTCATTTGATTGTAACTATACACATAATACTCGAGTAAATAGAGTATCAAGTATGTAAGTTTCAATCTGTTAATTGTAATGTTACTTTATGAAGGGGAGCATGATTTTCTGGAGTAATTAACTTTTTTTAATTAAATCTGGTAGGGTGGCGTGGGGTGTTTCTAGGGTTTTTTCAGTTATGAAAATATTCATTTAGTTTAACAACTTAATTGGTATAATCACAAAGAGATACTGGCAGTAGTTTGGCTATCAATTCAGTTACAAAAATTCTTGATAGGTATAGTTCTGTGCAATGATAATGAATTGAAGGGTCAGTAATTGGACAAATATTATAAATATCCGAATTCTAACAAATCATAAATGAATGATATCTTTCTTGACGTTTCTTTGGCAAGATACTTTGTTCAAAATAATAATAAATATAGTATATATATCTTACCCTGCCATGCATCGACAGTGAGCAGTAACAATGCCTCCATCGTTCTTGTTGATGGCTACCTAAGCCTCATGAGGGTCGTCGGACATTCTCTGTGACGGGTTCACACTTGCTTTAATCACATATAACTGACGATTAATTGAAAAGAACATAAAGGCATGCACGTAGCCACTATTAAAGTAATTGTATGCCTCTAAATTTTATAGGTTCATCAGTTTTTCTTTTGTAAACATGCCAGGGATGTCGAGCAACTACATGTACAGGTCGGGATATTCCGGTTCCGGTATGGCGATGAGCGGTCGATTCAAACCTTGCTACTGATTTAAACATATTCTCAGAATGAGGGACGTAATTCCAAACATCTAATGACAGAGTGTGTGTATCTGAGCTGATGTACCTTCTACTCAAGATTTTGTCCAAAGAAAATTACTTTAAGAAACTTCAAAATTGTCTTGCTGACAAAACAGTGCATCAAAGAAAATGGTGGCAGATAGCAAAATCTATAGGAAAAATGACTAATAACACTAGCACTAATTCTTATCCTCTGAACTCTAACAATAAAATTTTAATCCATCCACAAGATAAAGCTGAAGCACTAAATAACTTCTTTACCACCATTGCCTCTGATATTACTGACACTAACCTACCTGATTTACCTCCCTTATGTCCATTTGAACTTTCTAATATTAACATAACTGAACAAGATATAACTGACCAATTTGACATTTTTAATAAAAACAAACCAGCTGGTCCTGATGATATTTTACCTATGATTGTAAAGAACATTTCTTCTTCTTTAGTATACCCACTCAAACTATTATTTAATAAAACTTTATCTATTGGAGAAATACCTGATGTACTAAAAACTGCTCTCTATAAAGGTAAAGGAGATATCAGTGATCTCAATAATTATTGACCTATTGCCATTACATCCCTTTTTATCAAAATGTTAGAAAAAAACATTTTTAAATATACGTTTAATTATATTTCAAGTCACAATATGTTAATCAGGATTTCAACCCAAAGACTCCACTACTAATCAACCAGCTGATATCTATAATACTATAAGTAGTAATTTAGACCAAGGTTAAGATTTGTGTTTTGTTTTCTGTGACATAGATAAAGCATTTGATCGTGTATGGCATTTGGGCCTATTTTATAAACTAAAAACATATGGTATTAAAGGTAAATTATATGATTGGTTTAAAGCTTACTTATCTGACAGAAAACAAAGGGTTATCTTTGAAGTTTATAAATCTAGTACCAAACCTATTTCTACAGGGGTTCCTCAAGGACCTGTCCTTGGTCCCTTCCTCTTTCTTCTTTTTATTAATGATATTACTAACAATGTAACCTCTCATATAAAACTCTTTGCAGATGATACCTCTCTCTATGTTATAGTAAATAATAACAATGACCTTACAACACCTACTTACATGCTTAATGATGATCTTAATGAATCAATCTCTGAATGGTCAAAGCAATGGCAGATCCTATTCAATCCGAATAAGACTGTAGCTATTAACTTCTCTCGTAGACACATTAACAATCATCCTCAACTGCTATTTAACAATACTCCAATTGCACAACATGAACACCATACTCACTTAGGACTAACATTTAACAGTAAAGGGACATGGGCAGATCGCATTTCAAATATTAATAAAAAAAAAAGCTAACTCTGGACTAAGTATTCTTAGGATTTTAAAAACTACAGTTGATAGGAATACATTAAAACATTATATGTCTCTTATATAAGACCTGTGTTAGAATATTCTGATATAGGATGGGATAATTGTACCAAATCTGAATCAGATCTTTTAGAACCAGTTCAACTAGAAGCTATGCGATTAATTACTGGCCTCAGACGAGGTACATCTCATCACATTCTGTATACTGAAACACAACTTGAATACAACTTTAATAATTACACTCCAACTTATCTCGATGATATCATTCAACCATTTCTAATTGAAAATAATAACTATACCTTTAGAAATAATAGATTAGTTAATATACCACAGACAAGAACTACTACTTATATGAATATCTTCTACCCTTCTACAATGGTAAAATGGAATGCACTTGACAGCACCGTACGAGACTCTATCTCAATTTCATCTTTTAAAAAGAAACTTCAAAAAACTTTTAATACATCTGTCTCAGAAACTTTTATTAACTGTGTTCCGAGAAAACTTAACATCATTTTATGTCAGCTAAGAAATTTTAAAAATGATCTTAACTTTGATAAGTTACAAGACCATCTGATTGATGATGCTTCCTGTGTATGTGGTGAACAGAGGGAAGATCTAATACATTTTTTTTCAATGTCCTCTGTATTCAAATATTAGGCATCATATTACCACTATTTATAATCTATTAGGATATTTAAATCTGCACTGTTTATTATATGGTATTAGTAATGCATCTGACCAATTAAATAAAACTATTCTTATACATGTTGACTTTTATATAAAATCATCAAAACGTTTCGTTACTTATACATGCTAGATAAATTCCAAATTAATATTCATGCATTGTTATTATTATCATTATTCAGGCAAGTTTTGTCCCTTAAACAATGAGTATTACACATAAGCTGGTGTGGGTGTGCATGTGTGTGAGAGGAAAACGAATTACAACTTTTTATATATTTAAGCATTGTACATAGCTACCGGAAATAGAAGAAGACTGATATAGGCATAGCCTGTTGTCTAATTCTTTTGTCAATACTGTTCTAATATTTTCTTTAATTTTAACTTATATGTTTGTATTAGATATGTATTGTCAAGAAAACACTATTGAATTTAAAAATATTCTGTTGGGGGCCACAGCTTAACATTGATTTTCCAGTCATTTAAAGGGATTTCAAATAGGCAAACGTCAAGCTGGATTAACGTGAGTTTCTCTAGTTACTTCGCAGAAGCCTCTTTGTCAGTCTATAAGTCGCCGGTTGTGATGATTTTTTTAGGACACCTTTAACGCACGTCGCCATTACCGTTGTCGCTACTGTACTTAACTCTCGCCGTACTCGCGAGTTGCCGTCCAGTGTGCGGTCCAGCGAATCGTGACGTCACGCGATACCCAAGTATACTAGCATTCGATACAAACGATATAATGACCACGATGACATCATAGTCACCAGACAGCTTGCACTCACTGGTCGCCTACTATTAACTGGTTCGCTCAACTTATTTGGTACAATATGTAAAATGTANCCCCCCCCCCCCCTCACAACAAAGATTCTTAAAAACTTTTAAGCTTATGAAACATTTGTATCATAAAACTGTCAATCTCCCCTCTGTCTTGCCAGATCATTGATAATACTACAATATTTCACAAAAGAATGTGAAACGTTATTCTTGAAATACGCAGACATTCGGGAAACTGACCTTAATAGGAAAAGTTCAAATAGTTCT